CCCAGGGGCGGGCAGGCAGGGAGGCCATGGCTGCCGGGTGCTGTGTCCTCACACCCAGTCACGGGGTGAGTCTGGTGCCCCCAGCACCGAAACCCCCCACGGGAGGCACCGAACCCCCCTACCCCCCAGGTGCTGACTCAAGTCCCCCTCCCTGCAACCAGGCAGGATCTGGCAGGATCCAGCCCCGTGAGCTGGTGGAAGAGCATCCTGGCAAGGGGCCAAATCCTGCCCCATTCTTCCCAGTCCTTCCTGGTGTCCCTGCTCTTGCTGCCACAGCTCGGAGGGGAGCTGCACTTGTCACCCTGTATGTCTCAGTGGCAGGAGGGGACCCTCTGCCCTGGGGATCTCCATGGCCCCAGTCAGAGCTGCCCCAGCAGAGGTGAGGGCAAGTGAAGGGACCCTCCTCCAGATCTGCAAGGGCTGGAAAAGGCTCGTTTTTTAATGGAAGCAGAGAGCATCCCACCCTCAGAAGACCCCGAAGAACGGCAGTTCCTGGCAGCAACGGTGGGCAGCTTGGTTGGCACTGCTGGCACATGGGGTCCCACCAGGGACAGGTCTGTGCCAGGGGGTCCTGGCAGCTGCTGGCGTGGGGATGGGCTCAGCGGGCTTTCAGGGTCACCTCCACTGGGAAATGGTCACTGACAGCCAAAGCCTGGTGTGGGAGGAAAGCAGAGATGGGGCTGAGCTCCTCTGGACCCACCACTCCTCCTGTGGCCAGCTGGGACACAAACCCTCCCCTCCAACCCCAACATTTAGACCAGACCTCAAAAGGCTCAGGCTGGGGGGCTGCATCGGTGCAGGGATTGGGGCTGGGCCACCCGAGGCAGTGGCTGCCGGGTGCTGTGTCCTCACACCCAGTCACGGGGTGAGTCTGGTGCCCCCAGCACCGAAACCCCCCACGGGAGGCACCGAACCCCCCTACCCCCCAGGTGCTGACTCAAGTCCCCCTCCCTGCAACCAGGCAGGATCTGGCAGGATCCAGCCCCGTGAGCTGGTGGAAGAGCATCCTGGCAAGGGGCCAAATCCTGCCCCATTCTTCCCAGTCCTTCCTGGTGTCCCTGCTCTTGCTGCCACAGCTCGGAGGGGAGCTGCACTTGTCACCCTGTATGTCTCAGTGGCAGGAGGGGACCCTCTGCCCTGGGGATCTCCATGGCCCCAGTCAGAGCTGCCCCAGCAGAGGTGAGGGCAAGTGAAGGGACCCTCCTCCAGATCTGCAAGGGCTGGAAAAGGCTCGTTTTTTAATGGAAGCAGAGAGCATCCCACCCTCAGAAGACCCCGAAGAACGGCAGTTCCTGGCAGCACAGGTGGGCAGCTTGGTTGGCACTGCTGGCACATGGGGTCCCACCAGGGACAGGTCTGTGCCAGGGGGTCCTGGCAGCTGCTGGCGTGGGGCTGGGCACAGCGGGCTTTCAGGGTCACCTCCACTGGGAAATGGTCACTGACAGCCAAAGCCTGGTGTGGGAGGAAAGCAGAGATGGGGCTGAGCTCCTCTGGACCCACCACTCCTCCTGTGGCCAGCTGGGACACAAACCCTCCCCTCCAACCCCAACATTTAGACCAGACCTCAAAAGGCTCAGGCTGGGGGGCTGCATCGGTGCAGGGATTGGGGCTGGGCCACCCTTGGGTGCACCCTTGGAGAAGAAAGAGCCCACCCACACTCCTGGGAGGCACGGGGGCTGGATCCCAGTGCTGGTGGGCTCCCGTTCCATTGGCCCCTCACTCACATCCTTGCTCTGGAGGTGAAAAACCTTCTGGAAGTCATTGACAGCAGCAGAGCCGGGCTCGATGTCCTGGCGCAGGGCGGTGCCGCAGGCGACGATGCTGCCGGGGCGTCACGGGGGGGGTCAGTGCCCACTGGTTCATCCCCCCACCCGACCCCCAAGCCCCCCACCACGGTCCCCACCCACCGGTCGTAGGCACAGTGGGTGGTGTTTGCCACGGTGGTGTCGGCGCTGTCGGGGATGAGCCAGAGGCAGGAGCTCAAGGAGCGCAGGCGGATCGACGGCCACTGCGCGCTGGTCACGTAGGAGCAGCCGGCGTTGAAGTCCCCCAGGAGGATGATGTTCTGCAGGGCAGCACGTTCTGTCCCTGCCCACAGACCTCCAGGGCTCCCTAAACATCTCACGGGGCAGCAGGAAACCCCCCTTGGGGCTCCCCAGCCCTCAGGAATGGCAGCAGAGCCACCCAGCAGCGTGGAGATGCTGGGGTGGTACCCGCTTCAGTGGGTACAAGAAACCTCCCAGGGGACACACCCACCCAAGGAAGGGCACGGGGGTGTGTGGTGGCCGTACCCCAGCCCACCTGGGCTGCCCCAGGGAGGAGCAGAGCTGCCCACCATGGCTCACCTCAGTTGCCCACTTGCTGACCACGTCGGTGTAGACGTCGTAGAGCGCGTCGATCTCCCGCGCGGCGCTGCCGGGCTCGGCGTGCAGGGGCACCAGCACCAGCTCCTCCACCTCTGCTGGACAGGTGGCCATCAGCCCCTGCCTCGGGTGCAGCACCCAGGAAGGGAGCAGGAACCCCAGGGGACCACCCCAGGCCAAGCCCCAGTGACCAGCTGGGAAAAGCTGCCCGAGGGAAAGGGCACATTGGCTTTTTGTGGTCTCCTTCTCCTCCAGGCTGGAATTTCCAGCAGGGAGTTGTGTCCCTCCATGCATGGTTTGCTGCTTGTTTCCCATCAGTTTTTCCAAGGCAGTGCAGTTTTGGGAAGGAGATGGGGGTGGGAGAGAGATGGGAGAGTGTGTGTGTGTACCCTGGGGAACTGCTGGGGGGGTGAAGGTGATGGCACAGGGTAGGGCAAGGCACAAGGTGGGAGATGGGAGCTGATGGGAGATGGTAGGTGAGGGGAGGTGGCCCATGATGGGAACTGGCATGTGATGGGACATGGTGAGTGGTGGGTGTTGGCATGTGATGGGAGCTGGCATGAAACTGGAGGAAGCAGATGGTGGAATATGGTGCAAGGTGGGAGGCAGCAGGTGATGGGATGTGAGACCCACTGGGAAACAGCTGGAGACACAACTGGAGAGGGACCAGGGTGGGAGATGACAGGCAATGGGAGGAGATGGGACATGGTGGGAGATGACAGATGGTGGCAAACAGCAGGCTGTGCTAGGCAGGTCCCCAGCACCTCTGGGCACCCATGGGTGGCAGAAGGCCCTGCAGCAGTGCAGGACCCCAGTGGAGCCCCTGAGCTGAGCTCCAGGGTGCAACCCCCCTGGCCTGGCAGGCTCAGCCCCACATGGAGGGGACCCCGTGCCAGGTCTGGGCAGCCCCCAACAGCAGCTCTGCTCCCCTGTGGTGGGGGAGGAGAACCTGACGATGAAGGGCTCCCTGCTGAAGGTGTCATTCCCACAGGACTCACAGCCATCATCATAGTAGTAGCTTCCCAGCACGGACACCAGGTCTGACCTGAGGGGGGAGAGCAGGGCAGCCCCCAGCACTGCTCCCACCACGTGCCCACCACCCTTTGGGGGCACAGACCCTGGTGGCAGCCCTTACCTGTAGATGAAGACGTACTGCTCCTTGTAGCTGCTCCGACCCAGGGGGATGCTGTCCAGAAAGCTGTAGGGGTGTGGGGACACCCTGGGAGCCAGAGGTGGGGAGGGTGAGAGGAGGATCCTGATGCCCCCAGCACCCACTGGGCTCCCTCCAGAGATACCCCAGCACAGGGAGACACCAGCTGGGGTCTGTCCCAGTGTCCCATTGGCAGGCATCCCCTTGCCCTGTGCCACCAGGGTCACCTGTTGAGCTGGTCCATGAGCTTCTTCACAGCACTCAGGTCGGCGTCCCGGACCTCCTGCACCAAGGTGAGGTCGTATCCTGATAGGATCTGGGGGGACAAGCTCAGAGCTGCTGGCACACGGGCGGGAGCTGCTGGTGGTGCCACCCATGGGTGCCCAGTCTGGGCTGTGAATGCTCCCAGGATGGAAGCAGGGGGTCAGCAGGGACCCGAGAGCCAGGGAGGGAGCCCCTCTGCTGGTGTCCTCTGGCTTGGAAGGACCCTGGGGTGACACAGTGCCCTGTAACACCCACCTGTCTACCACCCACCAGCCCAGCAGCTCCTTGCTCCCAGCCTGCTCTGAGGGAGGAATCTGGGCAGCACTGAGCATCACCCACCTCAATGGGAACCAGCAAGAGTGGAGATGGCCCAGGGTTGGAGACAGTGATGGGAGAAGAGCAGATGTGTGGAGGGGTGGAGGGATGGATGTGGGGGGTGTGGAGAGGTGGATTGGTGGGTGGGTGGGTGCACAGGTGGGCACAGGGATGGGTGGATGGTGCCTGCAGAGAGCTGGTGTCCAACTGCACCCCAGAGAGCAGGGGGGACAGGACTGCCCCTCTCCCCCAGCACTCACAGAGACGATGATATCGGCGACAGTCTGGTTGGACATCTTGCTGTCCCCAAAGGCCTTGATGTTGAAGGCACTGATTTTCAGCATGGTGGTCACCTGCAGCAGGGGGGCTGCAGCCAGCAGCCACAGCACCAGCTTGGAGGCCACCATCCTGTGTGCAGAGGGACAGGCTCAGCCCCTCGGGCTGGGGCAGGGATGGGGCGCAGATGATGAAGAAGACCAGGGTATTCCCACTGCCCATACTGGTTTCCCTGGGAGGTGCCCATTTTCCAGCACCCCCCAGCCAGCATCTCCTACATCACCTGGGGGTTCATCCTGCCTGTCCCTGCTGCAGGGAGGCCAGCAGGGCCAGAGTGGGAGATCCACTGGCAGGAGCAGGTGCCAGCCCGTGTGACGCAGGGCAGAGAGGAGCTTCCTCATTCACTGTGCTCAGCCAGGGCCTCTCCCGCCCTGGGACACGTGGCAGCACCCAGGGACACCCAGGTCCCTTGCCTCTCCCACCCCTCCCGGGATCCACACAGGAGACCCAAGAGACCCCACAGCAGCCGTGCTGGGACAGAGCAAGGGATGGGACCTCCCTGACCCTCCCTCCACCCCTCCCAACCTCCTTCCCTGCCTGCATCATCCTCCTTTGGGGCCTCCTGCCCCCCCCAGGCCCCCAGCACTGCCCCTGCCCCCTCCTCACCTGGGCTGCAGTCCCCCAGGACCCCCTGCTGAGGCAGCAGAGCAGCTCCCCCCCACAGGAGTTCCCTCCCGGAGGGAAAGGCGCTGGGAAGGATTTCCCGTGGCGCTCAGCTCCCTGGGGTAATATTTCACCAGTGTGTGGGATCTGAGCCCTGCCTGAGTGCCCAGCAAAACACCCCAGCTTTTAGCACAGCCCAAGGACAGGCTCACTGCCCCCTGCCTCACTTTTTCTCCCGGGGCAGCTGCTCTACTTAAATCCTCCCTTTTCCCCCACTTGCATCCAGCTCCAAAAGCTACTGCCTGTCCTGCCACAGTCCCCCCAGCTGGTGATGTGGTGATTTGGTAAGGCCACCGTTTGGGAATGGCAGGATTTGGTCGTGCCAAAAATTGCCTGAAGCCCCACAAACCCTCCCTCCTGCCAGGGAACGTGGCAGCCCCTGCAGCCTCCCAGGCAGAGGAACCTACAGAGGAGCGTGTCCGCCCTGGGTGATGCTCAGGAGCTGAGCCCAGGCAGAGCAGCTGGGCAAAACTGGGCTGAGCTGGAGAAGGTGACACTGGAGAGGGGAGCAGGAGGAGAGGGGAGTGGGACGTACCTTTGGTGTCGTCCAAGGTGTCTGGAAGGGAAAGGAACCACACCTGCATTTATGGGCAGGGACACACTCACCTTGCCAAGTGGTCGCCCAGCCAAGGAGTGAGGCCTCAGGCTCCATATGGCATTTTTTTCACGGAAATAAAGGCTGCTCAGGGAAAAAAACCAACCCTTTCACCCAGTGCCAGCACCTCCTGTGGCAGGTGAGGCTGAGCATGTGCCTGAGTCCATACAAATGCTGACAGGAGATCTGCAAGATGCAAGTGAATCCCAGAGACCACTCACGGGAACTGCTGCTCTCACTCATCACCAGCTTTACTTTTAAATAAAAGTGCTTATTTCACCAAAACTAACCATTCCCCATCCCTGGTTTCAGAGGAGTGTGCTGGCAGTGCTGGGAGCCCAGTGCTGGGGGCTGAGCACAGCTGGTGGATCCCAGTCCAGACCCACCAGCTTTGGATTTAGGGTGTGGAGCCAAGCCCAGGAGTCCTGAAAAATGATGGGAGGTCTCCCAGGGCAGACCCTGTCCCCGAGGGAGCACGTGTGGTGCTGGGGAATGGTGGCCTCACACCCTGCTGCTCGCCCCAGCAGCCTTGGCTGATGTCCCAGTGCTTCCCAGCTTCCCAAGGCAGCTGCTGGGTTTCCCAGGGGAGCCTCTGCAGTTCACAGTGCTCCTCAGGGACTTGGGGGGGTGGGAACCCCTCCTGAGACAACCCCCCCCCCAGAGCAGGGCCAGGACTTGGACCACGCTCCCCACAGTGGGATCAGAGCTGGGCAGGGCTGTGCTCCCCAGGACAGCCCTGGGACCAGCACCCCCAGACCAAGATACCCCCTCCCCCCAGGGCCAGACCTCCCCCTGGGCCAAGACCCCCTGAGGGCTGGACCCACCCCAGGCCAAGACCTCTCAAAGGGCCAGACACCCCAAGCCAACACCCTCCCCATGGCCACCCCCATCCCCAGGGCCAAGACCTCCACAGGGACAGACCCTCCTCTGGCCCAGATCCCCCCGAGCAGCCCTGGGACCCCCAAAGGACCAGCTCCCCCTGTGAGAAACGTTTGTGGTGCCAACAAACAGGCCCAAATGGATCTTCCAGCCAAGCACAGTTTGTTGACACTCTGGCCAGAACGGGTGCCCTAAACAAGCAGGCACACCCATACCAAGGTGAAGAAGGGTTTATGTTCCCTATTCCCAAAGTTCCCTCCCCTGTTTCCCCACTGCCTGGGCACTCCAGGGTTTCCAGCCCATCCCACACTTCTAATGATCCTGTAAGTTTCCTGCCTCTGCTCACACATTCCATCCTAGCAGGTCACTTTTTACCTTTCAAGGCAGAATTCTGACCTTTCCTGCCCCCTTGGCTGCCTTCCCAATCCCCACACTGATCTGCACCCACTGGTGTCCTCCTGCCCCGAGGAGCAAACAGAAGGGGCTTTGTTGGGTCTGATCTTGGCCCATCAATCCTGCTCCGTGTTGGGATCCCCCAGATGGAGCCCAATTCAGTCCCTCAGCTTCTGGGACCATAAAATCCCCCCCAGGTGTCACTGGAATGTGCAGAAATCTCACTTATTTCTTCAACTATTCTATCCCTAACACTAGGGTATAGAGAGATAGAGATAGAGATAGAGATAGAGATAGAGATAGAGATAGAGATAGAGATAGAGATAGAGATAGAGATAGAGATAGAGATAGAGATAGAGATAGAGATAGAGATAGATAGAGATAGAGATATAGAGATAGAGATGGAGATAGAGATGAAGATGGAGATGGAGATAGAGATAGAGATAGAGATAGAGATAGAGATAGAGATAGAGATAGAGATAGAGATAGAGATAGAGATAGAGATAGAGATAGATAGAGATAGAGATAGATAGAGATAGATAGAGATAGAGATAGAGATAGAGAGAGATAGATAGAGATAGAGATAGATAGATATACATATAGATAGATATAGAGATATAGATATAGATAGATAGATATAGATGTAGAGATAGAGATAGATAGATATAGAGATATAGATACAGATATAGATATAGATAGATATAGATAGATATAGAGATATAGATATAGATATAGATATAGATAGATATAGATATAGAGATAGAGATATAGATATAGATATAGATATAGATAGATATAGATATAGAGATATAGATATAGATATAGAGATAGAGATATAGATATCGATATAGATAGATATAGATATAGAGATATAGAGATATAGATATAGAGAGAGATAGAGATAGAAATAGAGATAGAGATAGAGATAGATAGATATAGATATAAAAAACCCAAACCCAACACTGTGCTTCTAACACTAGGATGCAGAAACAACCCTACATCTCATTTCTAACACCCCCAAAAAGGGGAGCCATGAACGACATCCGTCACTCGCTGCTGCGGCGGGACGCGCTGAGCGCCGCCAAGGAGGTGCTGTACCACCTGGACATCTACTTCAGCAGCCAGCTGCAGAGCGCCCCGCTGCCCCTGGTGGACAAGGGCCCCACCGAGCTCCTGGAGGAATTCCTCTTCCAGGTGCCCAAGGAGCGCGGCGCTCCCCCCAAGGTGAGCCCCGGCCGTGGGTAGGGCCTGGGGGGGTTGAGGCCGCCAGGCCAGGGCACACCCAGAGAGGCCGGACGTGGCCCCAGGGAGGCCGAGGCTCCCAGGAGCTCCACAGGGCTCTTGTGGAGGTGGTTGCTGGGGTTTGAGTCATGGGGAGGGCAGGGTAGGGTGCCTGGGGGGGTGGTGACAGGGCTTGGGTGGTGGGGAGAGGTCTGACTGGTGAGATCCCTCCTGCACTGGGCAGGGCTCAGGAAGACCAGGCAGGGTCCCAGCGAGGCGTGGGGGGCTCCGGGGAGTGCCCACAGCTTCACAGAGCCCACAGCTTCACAGAGCCCACAGCTTCACAGGGTGTGGGCTACAGCTGGATGATGACCTCCCAGAGAGCAGCGGCCAGAAACGGCAGTTGCTGGTGAATGTCGGTGTGCAGGGGTTGGGGCTGCTGAGCCCGGGTGTGTCCCCCCCCGGCAGTGCCTTTAGTGCTGTTATTTGGAGAGGAAAGAAGTATTTGTCACCCCAGTATTGCTGTTGGTCTCATCCCTCAGACTGTGGGCAGTATTTGCAGCAAGCAGCAGCCTTGGGTATCCAGGTATTCAAATACAGTCTAGAGCTTCTCAGAGTAGCTGGGTAAACACAGGGTGGTTCAGGAAGCTTGAATGTGTGTGTTGTGCACAAAGATGGAATTTCTCACACCTGAGGGGATCTCATGACCTTTCCTGTTGCTGTATTTTATCAAAGCAGCTCTTGATTCTTATCATAGACTGGTTTGGGTTGAAAGGGACCTTAAAGATCATCCAGTTCCACCCCCCTGCATGGGCAGGGACACCTCCCACCAGCCCAGGTTGCTCCAAGCCCCATCCAACCTGCCCTTCAACACTG